GAGGCGCATTTACGTCGAGGGCGGGAGAACCGCTGAAGTCTCCATAACAAAAGGGTTAGGAATGATGTTTGTGTTTGGCTTCACCTTGTTCCCGTGTTCCGCAGACAAGATATTAGAGGATGAAGCGACATCGCCATGAATAATTCGGAAAGGTGTCGAAAAAACACTGCGGTCTTCCTTACATGTGACTGCATCTGATCCCGTTTTCTTTGTAACACATCTGTCTTAGACCAGAGTTCCACCGTCTAACCCGAGAAGCAAGCGATGGTCAACGGATGTTTGGCCATGAACCCGACTGTTGGACTGAACTTAACTCCAGGTCCAGTCGATGCCGTTGAGGAGACCAAATGCGTTCCCTCAATCTTATTGGTGACTGTTGACTGACGCAGGTGTAGTAACGTCGTTGCTCGTGTGACCTCCTGATGTCTGGCAGTTACTTTAAGATTCGTCTGGCTCTTGTACGTGTGGACTGGCCTTCGGGCCAAGCTCAGGCTTGAACCCTCTGTTCTCCCTAGAAAGCATGCATTCAGCTTCACTTAATGCTTTCTACCCAGCGGGAAATCTTGGGAAGCTGCATCTACCACAAAACAATCTAAATGGCAACTGAAGCATTCCGATAGTCCTACTTTCCAGCGTCCATTGAAACTCATGTAACTTCTGGAACCACGCAAATGACCCCAGTCCTCTACCTAAGAAAATAACTCCTATAATCCCTTTCACAAAAAACTACCCAATTTAAGAAAACTGCTTGAAGCGACATAGAAAATAATCGGAGACTCCTACATTTTGAAGTTAATTAAAGCATGCAGTACCCAGAAGTCCGTAAGCAATGCTGCACTCCTGAATCTGGGAGCCGCGACTGTATAGATTGGCAGTACTGAAGCACCCGCATGTCGATGAAACAAACAAGTGGGAAATGCGAGAACAACTATTTAAGTCAATGAAAGTTTAATCGCGCATACTCACGCAATCAAATTTTGCCAGCAAAAAATGAGCTAATAAGTAAATGCTCTTCTGAACGCCACACAAAATTATGTGATTGATGGTAAACGAAGACGGAAGCAAGAAGGGAAGGGTAGCTTATATCGAGTTAGCGGACGTGGCCATACCGATAGGCATGGTTCTGTACATCGTATTCCTCAGCAGCGGAGTTTGAAAGCTTTCGAATCAAATGATTCAATTGAACATGTTCGTCTGATTTTGGCATTGCTAGGTTCTGCAAAAGGAGAGAAAAGCTGCCCTCAATAGAGCAAGAGGAAGGTAACAAGATGAGCTAAAGCTTTCAGTTTAAAACTGAGGCACTAACAAATTGCCAGTAGAAAAGTAATTTACCTCATGCAGTTCGAAGAGGCGAACCCGACCATCATCACCACCAACAGCCAAATGAAAGCCCTTTTTGTGAAATCGACATCGATTCAGGAGTGCATCTCCCTCTACTAGGGTGGACGCCGTAGGAACCTGAGTCAGAAAAAAAGTACATTTCCAGAGTGTCAACTACACAACATAAGACCCTCACAAAAACGGTTCCAAAATCTTAGCGATATGCCTATTTATTTGGGAGGAGTCAAATAATAACTCAAAGCACAATTACAGATCACATCTGGAGTAGCAATTGGATCACCGCCTTACCTCATGGTCAGAGTTGAGGGACCACAAGTCCAGGCACCCAGACAAATCGGTGGTAGCAAAGAGGCCGGGGTGAATAGGAGAAGCGTCACAACCAACAAAGTAGTCATTGCGGTCCTCATAAGACAACAAGGGGTAAGCGGGTGACTCGCGGACGCTCCAAAGACGCACGCTGCAGTCCATTCCAGTGGTGACGAAAAGGGGGCCTTCGACCCCACACACTGTGACAGCCGAAACGCCGTCTGAAAGTGCCGCTACCTCTGCGCCCGCTAAAACTGACACACCTGTCACTGGTGCCCTGTGACCCTCAAACTGGACTGTCAAGCCCGCGTTCCTGCCAAAAATGGAGGGGGTTTAGTAACAATAACTGACTTGGTGCTATCCCTGCTTACCTCATGTAAGTGCACTCCCAACAAAGCCTATCAACAAAATTGGTACAAACCACATACATAATACAAACACTATTCTAAAAACGAGTTAAAATTCTTGAAGATTGTGAAAATACATGCTCAGTGTTTGCCATCCACGAAAAAATAGCACTTTTCAAAACGTCAGTGGAATTGCCACGAGACTTGTGAAAATAGAAATCACTCTTAGGGCATCACAGTCTTCAACCTCTGAGGAACACAAAACCTCGCAAGCGATCACAAAAAATGAGACACCAAAGCATCACTTAGCAAGACAGTTAATCAATTTAGGAAGTTGATTCATTAAGTGCGATGCATAAAAGTTGTGAAATGTTTGTAGATTAGAGTATCAAAATTCAAGGCGTTTGTTAAAAGCAAAACAACTGCCTTTGTGAAAGTGCGTCAAGTCTCAGTATTGTTTATTTGTTCTTCTCAGTTCTTATTTAAAAAATAAAGCTCGGTCCCTCACGAACACCTCCCATTCTAAAGTAGCATAAAGACCTCGAAACCCATCTATAAATTCGCACAAATCCACCAGTGACCTATTTTTCCTGTTCAATAGTTCACCAAGTCGATTCCACCTCTTGCCTGCATAACTGAAGATGGGATGGACCATTCTGCCATCACAGATTACAATTGCGAAAAAGCAGTGCCAAGATGCGCGATTAGGAGGAAATTTCGACGTATTGGAGAGAATCAAGACTACCAGAAGTGAGACATTTATTTTGTACCCATGAAACTTAGACTTTAACGAAGTTATTAGTGCGGCGTTAGAACCTTTGATTAGATCGAGGTTACAAGCCCAAACTCACCGAGTCAAGGTGTAACTTTTGCAGGTAGAACGTTGCTAGCCTTCAGATGCAAGAAATTCAGTAAGACAAATGAAATGGGCTCAAAATGATGAGAGGAGGATAGGGATTTTATAATCTCCATTCCTAATGCATATCAGCCTCACTGATGTGTCAAATGGGTGTCGACTAGTTTCTTTTAAAATTCCTCTTGACAATTTGCCCCAAGCGGTTAACTCTATCTAGTAAATTGATGCATTCAGAACAACCGAGACCCAAAACTAATTAGAGTGAAGATAGGAGAAAACCGCGTTTTACGGCTACACCAAATGCTGCCTAGAAAAGCGTTAAATAATTGGCAATAACTTTGCAACTTTCTTCTATTTATGGTAGTTACTATCCCATAAATATTGGAACCTTTACAGTTATAAAAAACAAAAGTGAGTATAAAGATGCTTCGTCCCAACGCAACGAACGAATTTGAAAAGAAGTGGGTAGAATGCGTTGATAACCAAATGCGAAATGCGCTCATGATACAAGAAATAGCAACTTCACCAATTCCAGATGGGATGTTGCTGTGATGGTTTTACGGACAGCAAGTGAAAAAACCCATAGGTAGGACAGCAATATTTATTAAACGCCTTGTATCCCAAGTCATTGAACCAGAACTCACACATATCAGTCCAAATAGGATACATCCACAGTAGCAAGGTATTGGCGAACAGCAAGAAGCCATACAAATGGGGAGTAACATTAGAGGAGATTCAACTGCCCGAAAGTCAGCGATTTTTTGATTTCATCAGCACTATTTTGACATCTTTTAAAGATGTCATCATTCAGACCATGGAATACTCAAACCTGGGTACTTAGGAGTCTAACGCAAGGCGAGAATGAAGGCACGGATGACGAAGTGCTGTGCTAACAAAACTTATGTAAAAACTTTACGAGTATGAGTTAAGCATTAGACTGAGCGGTCAGATAGAAGTGAGGAATCTATAAAAAGAAACAACTTAAATGATTAAAATCTGCAATTTCCTCGCCTTTTAGTAACTTAGGTATTCTCGGAACTCATCAAGACAATCAGAAAATAAGGGCAACATAAGATAATAGAACGTCTGGTAGAGGCATACGATAATGCCACAAGGGGAATAATTATACTAACCGGAATGAAGGAATGAAAAACAGAAAGACGAAATTACAGCGCAGAGAAAAATAAGAGATGCAACAAAATAATGATAAGAGAAAGAACGAACTACACTCACTTTCCATGACGCGATCCAGCATACACTGAACCATCCTGTGAACCAACCAGAAACCGACTGGCATCGGGATCAGGTAGAAGAGCAAGACAGGTAGGTGTGATAGGATTGGAGGAGCGCTTCATACCCCCGGAGGAAGCAGATGTGCCAGAGGAAGGTGTGAGATCGAGGGTTTGGATGGGGGCACCAAACATGTCGACAGCCCAGGTGCAAAGGCGGCCCTCGGAGGAGACGCTAATAATGTTATTGGAAAAGCGATTGCCCGTATCTACAAGACCGCATATCGCCTCAACATGTGCGGCACCATCTCCCGCTAGGTGTGTCATCTGCACTGGGGTTCGACGGTTCACCCTGAAAGTACAGTAAGACAAGTGTTTAGCAATACAAGTACGAGATAAATAAAAGAATGGAAATGGAAATGAGACAAATACATTTATAGTCTGTCGAGCAGATAAACAGGACTTAGTAATATTGAAATCGATGAAAATGAGCAAATAAGTTGACTTGTTTCAACAAACTCATAAATAGGCATTGTTAATGTTGTAATAACAATTCATCAACTACTAAATGTGAAGATGGTGGAATGAAATACGATGTCAGGCGCAACAGCTTCAATACCGCGTAAGTCGGATGAGATGCCTTAAGGGAACAAAGAGGATCGGTGTGCGTAAAATTACGTGTAATTTACAAATGAAAACATTTAGCCTAATTCAACGATGGTGGCGTAAATGAGAAATTTACCTGCTATCCCATAGGACAATCTGTCCACCCCTTGTGCCTCCAATCACTAGAGCGGGATTAAACTCAGCCAATGTTGCCGCAGTGATATCAACTCGGTAGGTAAAGACGTACTCCGGGGCCGTCTGTCGATACTTCAAATTCCATACACAACAACATGAGCTCTCCACACCAACCTCACTAAATCCATTTCCATCGCCAGTGCCACTGCCTTCACGAGTCTGCGATTGATAGGCAGCCAAGAGGAGCTCTGGATGCAATGTGGACCAATCGAGAGAAACCACTGAACTTCTTCCCCCGCCTGGCACATAGCTTTTGTCATAGAAGTCACCGATATACTTCACCAGCTGTTTTCCCTGTCTAAAAGTGGAAAGAGCATTCAGAAATAGCCCTGAGAGTTCAAGAATTTTTCAAACTAACGACGATCTACCCAATTATGAATGAAATAACTAAAGAGTCGAGTGGGAAAAATCAGAAGCTAGGCTGAAAATTCTGCGATTGGTAAAAGAACAGATAATTTCATAGCTTAAAGTTTCAAGTGAACGCATAAGCTAAAAATAAGCTTCTGACCACGCAAATATGCTAAAGAATTTTCAATTTACGTGACTCTAAATCGATGAGTACAAGAATACCATTCGGTGCAAAATGAAATCATGCTTGGGTAGGTGTAATTATATCTGGTGGATCTATCGAAGGACCCCGAAGAACAAGACTCCATTCATAATGAAGCTTAACAAGTGATCTCTCGTGGGAAAAGCAGAAACCTAAAATGAGACCACAAGAACATCAATGGACGGAATCATTACAAATCATCTGTGAGGGGATTTCCAAAATCCCAGAACTGAGAAGACGCTTATGAACAATGAAGTCATCAGAACAGCGCAGACTATCGAACGGCAAGCGATCAAAGACACGTTCGACCATAGTTAAAACGGACAAATTATTCCTAATAAGGGCATGAAAATCACTGCCGACGATAAAAATAACAACAAAACGAAATCACTAAGAATTCAACATAGCAATGGCCAAATTTGTCTTATTTCAACTTTAAACAACTACTGCAAATGAAGTGTCTTAAAGTTAACGAATTCAAGCTAAACATTTTAAATTGGGATTTATACTTCAGCAACAAAACCGTTTCACACAAACGGCAAATAGATACCGACTATTAATGCTCCAAAAGGCGTTCAAAGCACAAATACAATTGCCACAATGGAGAAGTATCCAGTCCTTAAAAAAATAACCACGAAGCGATTAAAAAAGCTATCAATGCTGAGAACAAGAAGACTAACACCAAAGATATTAGCGGCGAAAATAAGATTAGATAAGGCGAACGACATAAACCAAAACTCCCTATAGATGTGATACGACCACCGAAGGAAAACTTAAGTGTGAAAAAGGAAAAGTTGACGCAATAAAGATGGCGGGAAAAGCAATAATGCGACATAATCAAATTGGCTTCATTTCAAGCATAGTGGAAACGACAAAGTAAAAAGGCACATGGACAAGGAGAGAACGCAATCTAAAACTTGTGAACAAACATCAAAGGCGAACAGCGTCTGCCGACTACTACAGTCTGCGTATCGACAAAAAACGGTCTCATAAGTCCAACGTTTTAGAGGCA